GAAATTATCACGTTCTCACGTCCTCTACGTCTTCAAGTACGTGCTTAGAAGCTTCTGTGTAGACCACATCTTTGCAAGTAAATTGTTTTATACACGTTAACAGTTTCCTGATAAAATAAGCCTTACAATGAATCAGTTATCACCTGCTAATCTCCCTTACTTTATAAACTTCCTAAATAACTCACTGAGGGGATCAAGAGGGTGCGAGGACAGTGACAGTGGCCATCATAAAGATGTCAGGGAGAAAAAGATCCTCCTTCTCTGTCACGGAGGAAAAGATCACTTCCTTCCAAATCTAAAGGGCAGCTATTCTGTCGAAGGCAGTGCCTTCTGCGGGGGGAAGGGGTGATCTGCATTTCTCCCTGCCCCACTGGGGAGTACTGGGCAAGGGGGTGGGCGGGCTCACATTGTTATTGTAGTCTGTAGTGGCGGCGGCGCCCAGAACCTCATAGTAGCGCTGCAGGAAGGGCTGGAGGCGGCTCTCAAGCCGCTGTAGCTCCTGAAGCACCTCGACATACTCCGCAGGGGAAGGATGGCTGTGGGCAACCCCAAGGGGCAGTGAGCCAAGGCTTCCCTCAGATTCCCAACCTCACCATATCTGCCCTACCTCTTCCTGGCCTCCCAGACCCCTGGCCCAATCCCTTCCTGAACTAGCAGAGCTTCCGTTCTTTAACCTCACCCAGGGGAAGATGGGAAGAGGAAAATAAACTGCTTCCACCCTCCCCACCATACAATCCTGTACCTACAATGGCAAAACACTAACCCTAAAAAACAGACGGGGCCTGTGTGGACTCAGGAGAGAATCTCGATCAGGCTCAGGAAGCACCACTTGGATTTCCTTGCCCCAGGGAGACCAGTGCTTCCGGCTCAGCGGCCAGGCCTAACCCCATTTACCTACACTGGAGCCCCTCCCTGCCCCTCAACACTAACTCTACAGGTATAACCCCTAAGCAATCCTTCCTCTCCCATCAGACCTTCCCTGGTCCTCATACTTCACTTAGAATCCCCAACCCACTCCTACCCCAAAAGGTTCCCTCCATCTCTCACTTGGGTGCGTTTGTGTCTGGGGCAGGTGTTGGGCCTGCTGGGGCTGGGCCAGAAGGGGAGAGCTCCGGGCTCTGGGCAGGGGCACGCTCCTCCACCTCTTCTGCCTCCATGGGCTCCCGAGGAGGCACTTCACTTTCGACCGGTTCTGATGTTGGAGAGCTCAAGGCTACTGGCTCCGAGGCCACAGCTGGTGTCTGTGGGGGTGCCTGACTCTGCTGGGCTTGGGGTCCCCCTCGGCACTGAAGGTGGGGAAGAGTCAGGACACCAAAGACAAGATGAGACAGCAGCATAAAATTACTCAGGTCAAAGCAGACTGAGTGGAGAATGCGCTAACTTGGCTCCCTGAAGGCAGGGCTCTGCATCTACACCTGACTCCCTAGCAACTCCCTAAGACTTACACAAGTTAGATGCGTGATGAATACCTATGATGCTTGCAAACAAATTACTAACAGAAAGTATGGCCTGTGGTTTCCTAACCTCCAAGAGAAAAGAAGGAAAGGCCACTGGTTGCAAAAGCAAACTAAAAAAATTAGGCCATCCCAGTATCAAATATGATAAGCGAGGAATAGAAAAGCATGGAATCCGTATTTAACTGAAAAAACATGCCATGAGAATCATCTGACAAGTCTGCAACAAACTGCCCAGATACCCGGGACTTAGAGAATTGGCAGGGATGAAACAGCCTCACAAAGATACTTTTTCTTCCCGAAAGAACGAAGACTGCAAAGAGACTAGATTAGGAGGGGAGAATCCAGTGAATGTGGCCAGTCATGCCCCCACCCCTAAGCTGAGAGAAAAGGGGTAGGGAGGATGCAGTGAGACAGACAGACCCTAGCCAGCCCTGCCCACTCACCTCCATCCGGGATAGTAAGGTTTGTATATCCCTGATCATGTGCTGAGCCATCACCAGCCTTACTCGGGGCTCACTCTACAACAGGAGAGAGAAGATCAGGACAGGTCTGAGATAAGCCACAAGCTCCACCACCTATTAAACCAGGTCCCAGCCATCTCCTCAGCCAGATCCGCCCCCACTTCATGGCCTCCTTCTCCCAGATCCCCTTCCCTGACCCTCCCAGGCCTCGTGATACCTGAATCGGGGCCTGTTCCATGTTGATGTGAACATCCACAGCAGAGCCGTCACTCTGGGGAAAGGGTAAGGGAAGTTGTTCTGGGAGAAGTCAAATACTAAGGCCCCCGCACTTCCAACTGATTCTCTGGAGCCCCACCCCCTATCTCTTCAAACACTGAGGCCATCATCAGACTACAGGGCCCTCCAAACCCAATTAAAGACTGAGACGCCTGTCTTATAAGCTCTTGACTGCTACCACAACCAAAACTACCCCCAGAAAAACCCTCCCATGTGAAACACAAGCTTACAGGAAGATTGAAGGTTCCAACCATGACATAGCTGTTGGCATTCCGGTCATGAACAGAGGCCCCAGGCCCCCGAGTACCAGGTGGGGGTCCCCCACCATGGGTGGCTGAGGCAGACCCTGTTCCAGAAGACGCTCCAGAAGGGAGCTGAGTCTGAGGAGGAGCCCGTTCCACAAGGTGGATAACCTTTCCCCCAACATCTGCAGAAAAAAAGACATACACCGAAACATTGTACGATCAGGTAAACCCACGGCCTCAGCTCATCCCTCTGAACAGCAGCAGCAGCTCTGAACTGCCTCCCCCACCCCCTTACTGTATTCCTGGAGCTTCTTATCATCCTGCAGAACTCGCCCCTGATAGATAAGCCGCTGTTTCTCAGAGGGGATGCTGACAGAAGCAGCAATGTGCTCCTTAAACTCCTTTACATTCATCTGTAAGGAAGACGAGACATAAATAGGAATCAGGGAATGGAAGAAAAAGGAAGGACAGCAGAGGGACAACCGACTTGTGAGGGGTAAAAACCATCCCATCATAAAATCACTACCTGCCTGTCTTAATCGTGAGGTAATTATTGTGCAAAGCCTTGAACTAAGGCAACACCTGTCAATATACATACAATAAACATAAGGAACTTCAGATTATAAACCTAGGACAAAACTACAAGGTTGAAAAACAGAAAAGTCAACTGACATTCTTTTCTCTCCTTCTCTGCCTGGCTCCCAAAGGAATGTGTGTGTCTAAAGATACCGGTGACCCCTCCCCAAACACAGAACGATACCAATACTGTAATCTCAAAGATAAAAGCAGTGACAAAGAAGATGGAGCAGAAAATCAGATTAAGGAAAGCAGACTCAAGCAAAAAGAAAGAAAAAGGGGCAAGCCAGAAAAACATTTTTCCTAACTAGACAACTGACTCTTAAGGAGTACCAAGCTGTTTACATACACCTAACCACACAAGCCTATACGGTTTCCTTAAATACATGTAACACCGTGTTTTAAAACTATAAATTAACCACCTCAAAATTTTGTCTATTAGAGCTCTACCTGCATTATGAGCATTACAGGATCTGATTTCTATCCTTTAAATACACAGTACAGATGTCACCAGTTTTTGTTTTTAAGACACATTTGTATTTTAGGTCTGTGTGTTCTCTTTCCTTTCCCAAAGGCAGGAGCCGTGTCTCTCCCTTTGGGCTGGGGTTCATCTATGATGTTGGAATACAGACTCCTCCTTCCTTCTTTCTCTCTGCACTGACTTTTATCCAGGTGGAGTAAGGCAAAAGAAAATCTGCCTTCCCCAACAAAAACCAAAGAGGAAACATCAGAAAATGTTCTAGCTACAATATGAACAAAGGAATCAATGAAGGAAAATGTGAAAACCAGAAAATTAGGCTCTTCTCTCAGAATAAGGAACCTATAAGAGGAAGAGTTAATGGGTGTCTCCCAGAAGTACTGGGGTCTCACCTGGGCCCCCACAATAAAGGTCCGGGTCTGAGAGTCCAGGGTCTTCACCAGCACCTCCAGGCTGTCAGGTTCCTCCATAGTGGTACTGGTACTATCATTGGGCTCCATGGCCGACAGCTCTCTAAGGAAGAATGTTATGAGGGAGGTCCGCTGTCGCCCAGAGCAGATTTTTATATACCCGGAAGCCTCCCCGGCCCGAGACTCCGCCCCAATACCTAAAGAGTTTCTCTCACACAGGCACACACACTCACACCCTCCCCCATTCCCCTTCAGATTCCGGGGCACAGGGAGAGAAACACAAAGGGCAAGAGATCGACGGCACAGGGATCTGGAGAACGGCAGGTGGGAGGGCCTCCACGATGCCAATCACAATAAGGGAGGGCCAGTCGGACTAGGAAGCAGAGAAGGAAGGAAACACAAGACCAGTGTCATCACTGGTCGCGATAAGACAAGGGCCCGAGAAGTCGGCAAACCCTGGGACAACGAGAGACCGAGGGTCGCGCCAGACTCTGCGGAGAAAGTGGTTTCGCGCACGCGCGCCACGCCACGCCCATCGAACCCGCCTAAGTCGCCAAAGACCCGAAATGACGGACACTCACGGTGGGCCAGCTCTGCTAGCTGACTGCCTCCCTCTTCCACCTACCCTCGGTGCTCTAGCAGAGCGACGCAACCAACACAGACCAAACACACCCCCACACACACCAAACACACACACACCCCACAACCCCGCAGCTCCGCCCCCGACTTCCCCACTGTACCGTCACTTCCGGCCTCCCCCAACCTGCCTCCGATGGCCACTTCCGTTTCCGACAGTATTTGGGGATCGCGAGGCGGTACTTCCGGCTCCCCCCAGGTCCCCAAGCTTTACTTTTGTGGGGCACGACGAGAAAGTCCGCAGCCCCAAATAGTGGGTTCCTGGGGGCTAAACGGGCCGGGGCCGGCCTAGATGGGAGGGAGCCGAGCACCCCGAAGAGCCGCCGCCGCCGCCGCCGTCGCCCGGGGGACCGTACTGCGCTTGCGTGCGTCGCACTACGCATGCGTACACACTTAGGCATCTCCCCACCCCCGCCGGCGCTGTCCATTTGTTACGTACGCGCGTTTAAGCAGTAGGGGGTTGTGGTGGCCCCTATAAATGCCTGAAAAAAAATTATCAGGTGGGACTCTTCGACTGCCTCGAGAGCGGCTTTGAACAGTTATATGGATCTTGGAGTTTGGAGACTGGGGATTGTGCCTCGCTAATCTATGTTAAAATCTTGGCCGGCAGAGAATTTGAGGCGGCCCTGTCCTGGCCACCTAGAATACTGTCTTCCTCTTACCATCGTCCTCGTTGCGCCTCTCTTTCGGCGCTTCCGGAAGTCACCCTTTCCATAGGCGGTTGGAGGTGGCTTTCGAGCTGATTTGCGTGCGGTGGCGTCGTTGGGTTTGACCTCGGTTTTGCCCGGTGGGCGTTTTGTGGCGCCATGTTCTTCCCCGGCGGTGTGCGGCCGAGGGGACACGCCATGTTTTGGAGAAGCTAAGGATTTACTACTGCCTTTCAGGACTTTTGTCTAAAAAAGGACGCCTCCGAGTTTGGGAATTGGGAGCAAATAGAGTTACACTGGACCGAAACACAAGGCTCTGACCCTGGGGAATTGAAAGGGCCGCCTAAGGGCTTCTGCGGGCCGGAGGTCCGGGGAGATTATCGTCCTTCTGTCCTCTTCTCCCCCCTTCCGGCCCGGGGAGATTATCGTCCTTCTGTCCTCTTCTCCCCCAGCCCCTCGGGCAGGGGCCTGGGCCCCGCGGTGCTGCCACTCCAGCCAGATCCGTTGCTGCCAGTGTGCCTGCCTCTGGTGCCCATCCTTTCTGGGATTCGTAGTTTATACCTAAGTCCCAGTACTGTTTCAATTAAGAGTTCTAGTAAGCACCTGTACATGAGCCCCTAGTTTGTGCCAGCCAGTTTGCTGAGGGTTTCACGTACTGTCATATTTAAAAGGCTTTCAACATCTGAGATAACTATTACACCCACTTTACAGGTGAGTACACCTAGGCGAATGTCAGTGGCAGAACTGACAAATTCAGGCCTACCAGACTCCCTTGGGTCAATCACTTCTACTTTACTGCCACAATAACTTGTATCTTAGTTTTTTTTATTAAAAATGTCAAACATTATCCCAAAACAGTAATAATGAACCCTCATATACACATCATCCAAAGTTTATTCTTTTAACTAAATTGCAAGCCCATAGCAAGCCTCACCTCTCAGAACAAACCTTTATGGCAGTCTGTGGGTTATAAACAGTTTATAAAAGAAGCTCCACACCTTCCATTACATTAACTGCTCCACCCACTTGGCACTCACTACCCAATGACTGCCTCTTGACAATTCTTTCCCTACCTTCTGTTACTTGAGAACTTAATGCCCACCAGAGACTAATAAGTACTTTACAAACACTACTATTAATTATAGCGAATATTTATTTTGGACTTCGGTGCAGGCCTTTGCTATGGGCTTTATGTGCATTAGCTCTTTTAGTCCTATGAGATGGATGATTTGCTCATTTTACAGATGAAAAAACAGGCATAAAGGTTAATAAAGTTATCCAAGATCGATAAGTAGAGTTAAGGGTTTGGACCCACTCTGCCTGACACCACTGTCTGTTCTCTTTAACCACTAGATTATGTAGTCTCTCACTTATAAACATTGAGTGAATGAACTCATGTGTCAGCAAACTTTTCTGGGGGGTGTACATATAGTTTCCCCAATTAACAGCTTCAGAGAGAAAGCCTCCCATCCACCATGCTCCAGCACCTGGTTCATACCTGTTCTAAAGCACTTACCAGGTTGTACTGCAATGATTTGTTTATACAGCTAGTTTTCTGTAGACTGACTTCTTCAAGGCCAGGGACTGTGTCTTATTCATTGTTATGTTCCCAGGGCTTAGCCAGTTCCTGACCAACAGCTGGAACTCAAAACCAGTTTGCTAAGTGAGCGAGTGAAAGAATCAATCCACTTCTCTTCAGTGCTGCACAGCACAGCAGATATCCCAGCTCAGATATGGGTTGAAAGACCACAGGCCTACCTGGAGGGCTCAGCTCTCTTAATTCCTGGGAGACCCTGGACATGCCAGGATGTATTGTGGAGGAGTTGCATTTAGAAGATGGGGAGGAAGTCCCAAACACAGTAAGTAATCCAGGCTTGGGTTGGAAAACAAGGTTGAAGTTACTCATTAGCAGGTGAAAGGGTCAAGGGTCGAGGCAAGGGGGCTGGAAGCAGAGCGGACTGAGCAGCCAGTCCACGAGGCAAGGGGGAGAGCAGTTAAGGCACTAGCCACTCCACGCAGACCCCCAGCTCCCTCCTGCCTGAAGATGTTCCACCAAATTTGGGCAGCTCTACTCTACCTCTATGGCATTCTCCTTAACTCCATCTACCAGTGCCCTGAGCACAGTCAGCTGACAACTGAAGGACTAGATGGGAAAGAGGTATGGACTGAGAATGTGGGAAGCTTTGCCGGGTTGGGGGTTGGGGGCCCTTGAGAAGTGGCCTAGGATGACCAAAAAGCCACACTGGGAAAGGAAGGGAGGAAGAGGGTGTGGGTGTTGTGATGATGAAAGCAAGAAGTAAAAAAAATATTAGTACTGTGGCCATCAATGTGAAGACATGTAGAATTGGGAGGTGGGGTTTACTGAGGAGGGACAAAGAGGAAAAGTCATTTAATGACTCCTTGTCATGGATCCAACCCTCAGTTGGAAAAAGGCAGCAACACCTTCACCCCTAAGCATTGTCATTCTGACTGATGAAGAGGTCGGATGGATTCTGTAGTGAGACCCACCTTCTTCTGCTCCCCTCGTTGTCTCTCCAGTTCCCAGAGCCCCATCTGGGCCGGTGGTACTTTATCGCAGGGGCAGCTCCCACCAAGGAGGAGTTGGCGACTTTTGACCCTGTGGACAACATTGTCTTCAACATGGCCGTGGGCTCTGCCCCCATGCAGCTCCAGCTTCGAGCTACCATCCGCACGTGAGTGGTGAGGAGGCAGAGGCAGCAGTAGGTACAGTCTCTGCCTAAAGTGTGAGCACCCACCCACAAAGAGCTGGGCTCTTTGGCGTATCCATTATTCTTGGTCCACTTGAGTTCAACAGCTCTATTAGTTTCCCTCCGGAGAGATAGCGACCTAATCATCCCTTGGTAGCTTGAAACCCAAGGGGAGCCAGGCTTCAAGAGGGAATAAGATGAAGTAAATAGAGGCTGGTACTGACCGGTTGAGGTGTCACTCAGTCTTTCTTCCTTGTCACCACCACCTCTGCAGGAAAAATGGGCTCTGTGCGCCCCGGAAATGGATCTACCACCTGTCTGAGGGGAGCACAGATCTCAGAACCGAAGGTTGGTTCTCTCCAGCCCTCACTCTCCTCAAGCCCCCTGGGCTTGCTTGCTTCTGTACCTCAGTCCTCACACTTGCCCCACCCACCCTGACAGGCCGCCCTGACATGAAGACCAAGCTCTTCTCCAGCGCATGCCCAGGCGGAATCATGCTGAAAGAGACAGGCCAGGGTTACCAGCGCTTCCTCCTCTACAGTGAGTGAGGGTGCCAGGCAGGAAGCGCTGGGGGGAAGCGGGAGCCGGGGGGCAAGAGAGCCCCTTTCTCTGGGCTCCGTGACATCATCTCAGGAAGGGCTGTGTGCTTCCGTGAGGGCCTCAGCAGGGGCGGTGCTGAGAAGCACGGGCTTTCACGGGCCTTGCCTTGCTCTTCCAGATCGCTCACCACACCCTCCCGAGAATTGTGTGGAGGAATTCCAGTCCCTGACCTCCTGCCTCGACTTTAAGGCCTTCTTACTGACTCCCAGGAATCAAGGTGAGGGGGCAGAGTCCCACAGAAAACAACTAGGACTCACCAAGTCTTCTGTGAGTGCTGGATGAAAGGGACTCAAGTGATGTCACCAGAGGGCATGGCCAAAGGCCGACATCATCACATTGGCTGTGTTGACACTTCCATTTGTGTCACAGACTGCAATGGCACCACAGGGAGCCAGGATGGGCTCTGGGATACTCAAGAGAGGTTTCTGAGTTTGCAGTGGATAAAAGGGGCAGAGGGTCAGACAGGGGGCAGAGGTCTGTAGGGAAAAAAGCCCTCAGAGACCCCTTCTCTGACATGGGGGAATGAGGGAGTACATTCTTCCTCATCCCATTACCATCAACCTTGCCTCTCTCCCTGGGTCTCCTTTCTTTTCATCCTCTTTTTTTCTCCCTCCTCCCACCAGAGACCTGTGAGCTGTCCAGTAACTGACCTGTGGCTTCATCTGTGCCCCCCAGATGGATACAGTAGGAACTGAGATTGTGGTGGGCGGAGAAGCTGGAGACTCTTAACTCCCTTTCAAGAATAAAGATGATTTTTCAATCCTCATCTCATTTGGGGGTTTGTCTCCCAACATCAGTCCCACTCCCCCCATTTCAGTACTCCCTCTGGACCTTCTACCACCTAAGCCCCCAGCTGGACGGCGTCAGGAAGGACACTGAGTGACAGTAACTCTCAATTTTAGTGGTGTATTTAGGATTTGGTGTGACACATTTATTGCTGAGTGAGCAAAGCCAACCCCCCAGTGGGGTCTGCAAACTCCAGTGCTCCCCATACTTCCTATGAGCTGCCAGCCCTTCTGAGCTGGCCCTCCTGCCAACACTGCCAGCACCATCCCCACTCCCTCTGGCTCCTAGGAACACCCAGATCCCCCCTGCAGGCTCCCCATCACCTGTGGGAACTCCATCCAGACCCCCTAATCCACCCACCTAGCAGTGCCACTCTTTCCCAGATAGCACAGATCACAGGATCCACAGGATCCATTGAGTCTCTCAACCACCCTCTTACCCCACCCAGAGGTCTGTCTGTCTTGCCTCTAGTCTCCTCCACCCCTGGAGAGTTTTGAAAGGTAGAGAAGACCCTTTAGTCTTTATTCTCCACCACCACACTTTTTTTTTTTTTTTTTTTTTTTTTTTGGTTTTTAAAAAGCGGAGGTGGGAAAAAAAAAAACTGGAAGTGGGAGAAATGTAAAAGCAAAAATTAACAACAGCTGGTGAATTCAAGGCCAATGCCCCCACTGTCCGTAAACACAGACACCCTAAACAGCTCTCCTGTGTGTGAAGGGGGGCAGGGCCTCTGTGCCCTCATACTCTGGGGTTTCTGCCCCATCCCTGAGGTCCCTGTGCTTACAATGTGGATCGTGCCCCCACACTATCTTCACCCTTGCTCCCAACCCACTGAGGGTGGGACGCTGGGCCACACCCCACCCCGTGGTCACAGCCTCTTTCCTGGGTCTCCCCTCTGCTCCTCACCCTCCCTCCCCAACTTCTCGCCCTCCAAGTCAGTGGCCTCCCCATCCCCACTGGGCTCCCGGAGGCTGACAGCCAGCACCAGGGCCTGTAGAAGACCAAAGAGGCAGGCAAAGTGCAGGGGGTGAGCGGTAAGTAGGCTCAGCACGGCATGGAGCCCATGCAGGGCAGCCAGGAAGGACAGTAGCCCATGCAGCCAGAGGCCCAGCGGTCCACGCAGGCCCAACGCGTCCAAGGCTGCCCGCAAGGGCCTTGAGCACAGCCCTAGCAGGGCTGAGGCCAGGAGCTCCAGCAGGTGCAGGGTCAGGTTGGTGGAGATCTGCAGGCACTCCTCTGGGTCCCCCAGGTACTGGTAGGGAGCCCCTGCTCCCCCACCTGTTTCCCCCCGCAGCCAGCCCAGCAGCTTCTGACACTGGCCAGGCTTCTCCGCTGGGGCTTCAGGCCCAGGGGGGCTCAGTCCCTCTTCAGGGGACACACCAGGCTTCTTGGTGCCACCTGAGTCCACAGGATCCCATCCTAGTTTGAGAATGGTCTTTCCAGCCTCCAATCTCCCAGACTCTTGAGTGCTAGAGACAGTCTCGTCCCACTTGAGAGAATCCATTTTTTTGCACCCCAGTTGCTCAACTTGGGACTCCCTGCTTGGTTCTGGAGCAGCCCCAGAGCTCCTCTGTGCACCTGAGTCCTTGGTCTTGGGAGGCCCCAGATCTCCCATGGTTTCTGGGGCACTGTCCCAGTCACTCCCTGAATTCTCAGAGGAGCTGTCCATCCGTCTGGGTTCTGGGGCGGGCAGGTCAGGCCTCGTTGATTTCCAGCGGCCCCAGGGGCGAGGTAGCCAGCCACCAAGCTGTCGCAAGAACATGGTTGGGGTGTGTAATGAGCCCCCAAATTCTGGGGCTGCTTCCTGGCACTGCTTAGACTCTCAGGTTTGGGGGCTGAGGGTTTCCTCAGAAGCCACAGTCTGTTCAGGCTCAGAAGAACAGGTATCTGCTGGTGAGTCCTACTCTGAATTCAGAAGTGGCTCCCCACTTCCCTGGATGGTCATGCAGCCTCAAGTGTGTCAAGCGGCTTGTTTCCTTTACAGTTTTGAGGTAAAGGAAGGCACATCCAAGTTCATTCACCACCACCACCCAGCACACAAGATTGCAAAAGTCTCAGGATCTGACAAAGCCTGGGTCACCCCCACAGTGTCCTCCCTGTTTTCCAGGTTTCTTTCCCAGCAGGCAGCACCCCAAGTTTCACTCACCAAGCCTACGCCCCAAGGTGCCCCAGCAACTGGGGAGGAGGTTCATCCAAGAAGGTTCATCCAAGAAGGAAGGAAGGAAGGAAGGAAGGTGGCCCTGGGTCCTAGGTGCTCCGGAGCGGGAGAGTCCTGAACTGCTGCCCTAAGGCAGCTCAGGAAGAAGTCTCTTGTTAGGTGAGTGAGGGAAGAGGTATCCGGCAAACTCCAGCCAGCAACGTTCGTCCCTTGATTCAGAGGGCTATGAACCCTATAAAGTGGCCCCACCGGCCCCTGAGCACGCAGCTGAGACTCGGTCTCCGCGAGGTCAGGCCGCAGATGTCCTCAGAGATCCCGGTTGCGAGCCAAAACGCGGGCCTGCCTGGGGAGCCAGGCGTCCAGGCGCTGCAGCCCCTCCCGGGCCCAGTGTCCGGGCCGCGGCCTCGCGGATCCGCCCGGAGCCGCAGAGCCCGGAAGCAGCTGCACCGGGACTAGAGGGACAGGCGGAGGCGGAGCCCGCAGCTCGCGGGGCGGACCCTGCCAATCCACCACCGCCCCGCGCCCGCGCTGCTTGTGCGCGCCATCAGTGCGCACCTGGCCGTACCGCGGGGCGCAGAGTCAAGATCACGGGGACCCAACGCCTGAATGTAAACCCAGCTTTCCCTTTTCGTCGTCTAGAGCCCCCGTGACGCCAGTGTTCCCTTAAACTCGCCCGCCCCCTTTAGTCCCCTTTTTTTGTTTATGATTTCATGAAAGGATTTTCCGGAAAAGAAAGCTGAGAGGAGGCTTGGGACTTGAGTAGCCCTTCCTTGCTCCTCCATGCACGTATTTTACCCCTTGGATTTGACGACAGTGAGCGCTTCATGTGCCTGGCACCTAGTATGAGCAGCACAAGGGAGGAGCGGGAGAGGAAGTGTGGGAAGGACAAGTGTAGACAAATAGGATGTGCTTCCTGCCCTCAGGAGTTTTCAGGTATCAAAATGAAGAACCTTGGCTTAAAGTATATATTTGGGAGGCCAGAGTTCTGGTCCCAGTTTCAGCTAATAGCCTACAGGCTGCATAATCTTAGGCCCTCCTATCACACTGGCCTCTTCCTGCAAGACCCTACCCACTCTCATCACCTCTGAGCCTTCCCTGACCTCCTCTATCACCATGCATTGTATTTGATCACATCCCGTCTCCAGCTGTGAGCAACCTGAAGACTGGGAAAGTCTCTTACTCCCTATTCTTAGCACATAGTATATGAACTTTATTTGTGAAATCAGTGATTGAATTGAGTGGGCAAGGGATGGAGTGGGCAGGGGATGCCTTCTGAGGGAAGTTAGACTTGCATAGAGATGGGCAATTCCTGGTTCAGGGATTGAAAAAATAGGTGGGGCACTCTGGGCAGCGGCTGGGACTAGGAGCGAACCAGACTGGCAGGGAGGTGACCCTATCATACCACCTAGCAGAGCTGCTGCCTCTTCTGGCTCAGGTAGAATTTCATGTGGCCCCCAGCCTGTTTGGCTTCCCTGCAACAGCTTCCAGAAAAGTGAATAAAACACCAAAGAGGGGGAAAAGCTTGATTTATTTCTCAACTCTCAGCCTCTTTTCTCCCAAAGGCAGAGTCCACTGATCAAAACCTGAAGGTCTGGAACCTGGGCAGGCCCCAGGAAGTAGAAGCCCAAGTGCCTAGGTCAGGGGCCCAAGTTCAGACTTCAGCAGCAGACCAGGGTCAGAACTTGCCAAGGTCAGAACTCAAGGTTCATGTATGTCCTCAGATCCCGCTCCCAGGCCCTGTCCTTCTCCTCCTGCCTTCTCGCCTCCTTCCAGTTCAGTGTGGTCACCCTAGGGGCTCTCTCCCTCCCAGCCACTGCCCGTGTATCCCGAGCTGGGAAATGTGTAACTCGGGGTTGGGGTGCTGATCTGTAGCCTAATCCTTCCTGGTCCCTCTTGAGGACAGTGGGGATGGGACTGGCACGGCCCTCGCCCCGGGGTCCCAGCCCCATTCCAGGCTCCCAGCCCCCCCTCAGCAGCAGCCTGAAGCCTGGGCTGGAGGTAGGCACCCCAAGGGGCAGGTTGCGGGGCCGGAGATCCTGGGACAATGACAGCAGGTGAGCAGTGGAGGTACGGTGGTTAGAGTCTTGGAAGTGGGCATCACAAGCCTCACAGTACTGGGGGGAGGGGGATCGGGACCTGCAGAGAAAAAAAAGAAAGGGTTAAGGGCAGCGCAAGGGTTTAGGCCTCAGAGGTGGGTGGCAGGGTGGGACAGGGTCCTTCCAGTATTTCTGCTGAGGAACAAATTGCCTTCCTCCCCACTTAGCAACGAGGGACCCAAAGGGGAATAGCTGGGAGAAGAGAAGGTTAAAAGGCCTCACAAGGCTCTTGGGTGAGGGAGGATTAATAATTACTATAGCTAATGTTTGTATAGTGCTTACTATGCTACAAGCACTGTTCTAGCACTTTACATATATTAACCCATTTACTACTAACAACCCTTTGAGAAAGGTGCTCTTATTGCCCCATTTCTTAGATGAGGAAACTGATGCACATGGACATTAGGTTGCTCGCCCAAGTAAGTAGTCAGGATTTAAACCCAGGGAGTGGGTAAACACGGGAATATAGCAAACATTTTATAATGACTTTAAATGGACTGTAACCTTTGAAAATTGTGAATCACTAATATTGTATAGCTGTAATTTATATAGTATTATACATGAACTATGCTTCAATAAAAAATAAAATACAAAATTAAAAACTAAATAAATATATAAATTTTTTAAATACAAAAAAATAAACCCAGGGAGCTCATGTCCGTAACCAGACTGCCTTACTAGCCTACACTAGAGGACAGGGAAGAGAACCAACCCTCCAGCTCTGTTCTGGGGCCTCTAGTGTGGAGTAGCTAGGAAGGAAAGAACACAACGGAAGATAAGGCTTCCCCTCACCGGTTCTCTGGACTCCTCGTCTCTCTGGGGCCCTCTCTGACCATGCGGGCCACCTCAGGGAAGCCCGCTTCTTCTGCCAGCTGAGCAGCATCCCTGCCACCCAGCTCGCAGACCCCCACCCAGGCAGCCCCACGGCCCAGGAGATAGCGCACAGCTGCCCCCTGGCCTGCTCGGGCCGCACACATCAGGGGGGTCCACCAGAAAGCATCTCGAGCGTTGATATTCCCCCCAGCTCCCCCTGCCTCATGGGGATCCAACAGTCTTTTTAGTTTTGCCACATCCCCCTCCTGGGCTGCCCTCAGTATCCGGTGGGTCATCTTGTCCTCTGCCCCAAGGGATCTCCTTTGTCCATGTCCTCCTGATACTCCTGCTGCAGCTTCCTTCATCATTCTTCTTCTCTTCCTCTTTCTCTTACTGGCAGACTCAGGCTGAGCCCTCTGGGGTTCACGAGTGCTGCTCTCATCCCCAGTCAAGGCTTCGTAGAAAGCCCGGGCTGCAGCCCCATCCAGGGTGGGCTTCAGCTCTTCAGGCTGTGACTGCAACTGCCCATCTTTCCAGAGATCACTGGGGTCAGTGGCTCGGGTAAAGTTAATGAGGGTGGCCCCGGACATGGCTTTTGGGAGATCTGGGAAAATGAGACTAGGCAGGGGGAGGATGAGACGAGGAAGCCAAGCCCCTGGTGGTCCTGCAGTGACCAGAGCCACCTCCAGACACCTGCTGGGAGAAGGAAAAGTATCCTTAGCGTCAAAAATCCCCTCCTAACCCAAAAGTGACCCCACAACCTAGGACCCTGCAGGGCCTGAGGACCATAGATCATGTGGAAAAACAGGAAATCCTACAGTAACAGACCATGCCCCTTAGTAAAGGTTAACAAAGAAGTCTCCATAAGACAGCTGCCCAGAGGTCCTGCGCTCCGCCCCCACTCCCATCCTCATCAACAATAAATAATAGCCTCTCTGAGGCTACTTTACCACCACGTAAGACATACCGTTAAGAAAAACAATCAGCCTGGCTCTTTATATCTTCCTCGATCCTATTTCGGGTAACGTCTTCTCAAACAAAAACAGACTTGACACTTCTCCGGAAGCAGGAAGCAGATTTAAGGGAGAGGTTCCAGTCTGTGTTGTTTTGTAGCTTCCGTACTGCAAAATGGCACTACTCTAAGCAAAGGAATCGACAGAGTCACACGATACAAAGACGCATGCGTGGCTTGAAGGGGGACAGTTACTCGAGGGCGCAGGCGCGCGCAAGCGCCGGGGCTGTTTCCCGCCTTGGAATCGTTCCAATAGCATACCGCAACGCAGCACGTGCCCAAGTAGCGCGAGGACCGAGAAGGATCCGTCGGTTGGTGTGCTGCTTTTACATAACGCCCCCACAATACCCGTCGCCTCCCTCAAGGTGGCCCCCACTCCGAGCTCATTTTCTGTCCCTGGGAAACCATTCTCGGGGTTAAGAAAGGCCCTGAGGTGGAGAATGCCCAGAAACCGTGAAAAGAAATAACGTCTCACAGCCCCTCACCATTACTGTGACCTGGGTTCGAAGGTCACACTTAGCGCCTGCAGCAGCCCCGTTCAAGCCCTAAGAGGAAATGCAGAAGTACAAGGGAACAAGCAGCAGAATGGCTGGCGCCACCTCAGGTTAGCGCACGGGGCACTCCTGGTTCTGTCGCCGTTCAGTTCAGCCCAGTACACCCTACCCAGGTCCGTCAGCACGGAACCCGGCCTCACCTCCCGCCTCCGGAGCCCAAACCCCGGGGTGAAGCATGGGCCCCTTCGGGGGTCTCCTTGGCGGGCTGACTTGGGCAAGGAGCCCGACAGGCGATAAGGACCAGACTGGCTGGAGCGGATGAGGTCAATGCCCTGGGAAGCGTAGCCGCGCCGGGGCCTGAAGCTCGCTGTGCGAGGGGAGCGGCAGGAAACGACACCGGCAGCCGTGTTCCTCTCCCCGCCCTTCTCGACCCCACGGTTCCGGGAATCACACGACTATATTTCCCAGGCTCCGTGGCCCAGACGCGATACTGACTTTCCGCTTCCGGTTGAGCCTAGCAGCCCCTTGCTGCGCCCCGCCCCCGAGCGTCTCCCTCAGGGGCCTCGCGACACCAGGGTCGTGCGCGGGTCATCCTGGGATTCGTAGTTCGGCTTTCCCTAGTTTCGCCAGTTTCTCCCTACCGGGGACTCCATTTCCCGGCGTCCATCGCGGCTCCCGACGCTAAGCACTTGCGCGTTGCCCTCCTCCCCACCCTCCCCAATTTCCACTCCCCCCCCACCCCACTTCGCCTACCGCGGTCTTGTCCGCGCCGTGCGTTGCAGCGGTCCCCGCGGTTCCTTGGAAGCAGAAACTCCCCTTTCCCCCCCCGTCCCCCGGTCCCAGTCCCCGTCCAGTCGGTGAGTCTGGGGTCGTCCCCGCGCCGTGTCCCCCGTCCCTGGGCGCGGCACATGGGGTCTCCCCGCCTTGATATGGGGGTGGGGAAGGAAGTGACCTGGTCCGGCACCGAGGGAGGGAGAGGTGGCCAAAAGGGTGGAGGCGGGATGTGGGGACTCCCATGAAAGGGACCTGAGGGCCACCCCCAGGCCATGAGAAAAGGAGGGGCTCGGCTCTTGCTTGGAAAGGATAAACTTCGGAACCCTTGGGAATGGGGCCGGGAACACGCGGAGACCTGCGCGGGTAGGGAGCCTGAGCCGCGGGCCCTGCCGGAGTTGACACGGAGGAGAGAGGGGCCTGGCCTTCGGGAGCGTCAGGGATGTGGGTAGGACTAGTGGGTCAAGACCTGTCGGTTTCTCACAAGTGGTGGGACCCCAAAGAATTTATCTAGTCTCAGAGAAAAGGGGCCGAGATGTGAATAAGAGGAGCTAGAGAGACGTGCTCCAGGTTCGGATCCTTTAAGAAAGGGTTGCCCCAAATTCTTCCATGGTTGGAGGGCAAAGTGTGGAAGGAGGGAGGATATCAGAGGTAGGGAGGGAGAGCTTACCCTTACACTCCTCTTTCATTAGCTTACGTGAAGATGAGTAGCTCAGAGGAGGTGTCCTGGATTTCCTGGTTCTGTGGGCTTCGTGGCAATGAATTCTTCTGTGAAGTGAGTTCTTCTCAAACCCCCTATCCATCTCCACATATAACCTGGCTAAATAAAAAACTCTCCCATATATTCAGCTTCCACACATTTCTTTCACAGGCTTACGTAAAAACTCTTTCTCGTCAAGGAAGAGTCCCCTTAGTAACTCCCTCACTAACTTGTGGTGAAGGGGCGAGACTGGGGCCCCAAGTCAGCCCTGACATTCTCCAGCAGTATAACGTTGGACATGTCAACCTGTGTTTTATTTTTTATTACCACAGTGGTACTGGTAGTGGTAGTACCTATCTTCTGTGGCTGTTAGGACTAAAGTAGTTCCTACTAAAACGTTCTGTAACGTGCAGAGCTGTGTGTTAACATAAGGGATTGTAACTGCCTTCAGAATCCAAGCTGTTGAGCCTCCACCTTCCTCAGAGAGCCAGCTGGCCCTAAGGAGAGGCCAAAACTGAGATGGGAAGCAGGAATAGGAACAAGGATCATGAAAGGAATGTCTCTCTAAGACGGGGTTTGCTGTACCTGTTTATCCTTGGAAAAGAAAATCGGAAGCTTTTATGGGTGGGCGGTACATGTGAGCTGGGGAGAGAGACTCAAGTACTTCTGCTGAGTTGGGAGTGCGGAACAAAGGGAACAGAAGCAGTTGTGTTGAGGATAAGGCACCAGTTGGAGCAACTTGCCCAGGTCAAAGCTGAGGATTCTGCTATGGGTTTCCTTTTGACTTCATGTCCCGACAGGTGGATGAAGATTATATCCAGGACAAATTCAATCTCACTGGACTCAATGAGCAGGTGCCTCACTATCGACAAGCTTTAGACATGATCTTGGACCTGGAGCCTGGTGAGATACCCTCAGGGTTGTTTTGTGTGTGTATGCTTTTTTTCCTTTTCAAATCCTGTTTATCTGCTTCTTGAATTTCTAAATTTCCTTTTGGTTCTCTGACCCCCGTAACCCAAAGTCTTCTACTTCATTTTGATTCCCTACCTCACTCTTGCTTAGTTTTGTGACTTAACACCACTCGTTCCCATACTCTGATCCTGTTAACTTAGCACTATTTCATAATGCCCATTTTTCCATGAGTCTTATTTTCTGCTGCTTTTCCCTGCCTTACACCTTCCAGGCTAGAGTTTTGTCTTCTGTGGAGACATCTTTGCGTTTATGTATCGAGGGAGAGAAGGGAGCAGAGGCTGAGAGGGATGAAAAGAAGGCAGAGCTGCCTTGGGTTGGTGGAAGGGTCAGAGGCCCAGGTTTCTGGGTCAAATGCCCAGGCCGTGGGTGTGGTGAGGCTCAGAGTTGGGTGCTGGCTAACTGAGTAGCCCAGCAGCCCCTGGGGGTGGGCAGGGCACCCAAAATAGCTGTAAGACAAGTGGTTGCATTTGGTTGGGCCATGTTTCAGATGAGGAGCTGGAGGACAACCCCAACCAGAGTGACCTGATTGAGCAGGCAGCTGAAATGCTCTATGGATTGATCCACGCCCGCTATATCCTCACCAACCGTGGCATCGCCCAGATGGTGAGGCCTCTCTACTCCCACTTGGCTCCTTCGCAGGCAACAAGGGAAACAGTTTCCTGCAGCAAGAAGTCACTTGTTTCAACCTTGTCAAGGAATCTAGCTTAGAAGAGGGAAATAAACCCCAGAACCTAGGCTTAGGGATTAAAACCTGATTGAGGGTGTGCTAAAGGGGGTGTTTTCAGGGAGGGAGATGTGACCTTGGGCAGGAAGTTGTAGACTGCCTCTTCCTCAGAGAATAAGCAGCGAATGGCTCTGATGGTCTGCAGCCTGCCTAACTGGAGGAAGGGAAGCAGAGGAGTCTTGAGGGCCCATCTGAGCCAGAAAAGGGGCCTCTGGACAGCGAGAGACAGGAGGAGTTGGGGACAGAGTGATGTGGGTTGGGCTGACGAGGGGGTTGCCTCTTCTCTTCATACCTATCCAGCAACCCTTTCCATTTTATTCACTGCAGTTGGAAAAGTACCAGCAGGGAGACTTTGGCTACTGTCCCCGTGTGTACTGTGAGAACCAGCCAATGCTTCCCATCGGTGAGTGCTGGAAAAGGGAAAGAAGGGCCACATAAAATGGCAGGTCCACTGGGAAGGAGTTGGGGCTCAGCAAGTTGGGGCCTGAGTCCAGGAGGGAGGTTGGGCAGGCTTGGGTTACCTGGCCTGCTGAGTCTGGCTGTCTCCCAGGCCTTTCGGACATCCCAGGTGAGGCCATGGTGAAGCTCTACTGCCCCAAGTGCATGGACGTGTACACACCCAAGTCATCGAGGCACCACCACACGGATGGCGCCTACTTCGGCACCGGTTTCCCTCACATGCTCTTCATGGTGCACCCCGAGTACCGGCCCAAGAGGCCCGCCAACCAGTTTGTGCCCAGGTGGGGAGCAGGGACAGAGTCACCAAGGGTCAAAGGAAAGGGCCGGGGTCCCCCAGAAAGAAGGGAGGACAAGGACAGGGCATGGTCTGTTCTTGACACCTACTTCTCCCAAAGCCAGGGCTTTTCCCTGCTGAGTGACCTTGGGAAAGTTGTGTGATCATGTATGCCTCAGTTCCGTTATCCGTGAAGTGGGGATAGTGACATGCCTGACAGTGTGTTTTTAAATGTATGAATCGCTTAAAGTAATGTTTGTCACTTGAAGCAACATTTAAACAGTAGCTAACCTTGTTGTCTTCTTGGGTGTTCAACCTTCTGCCAGGAAATCCTCAGAGCCACGGTTCAAGTGTGGTTTATCTTCCTGGAGTATCATTTTTACTCTTGTGTAGAGAAGGAAAATTCAGCTTTATATTGAAACAAGTACTGATGTGTGTGCTTGTGCGTGTGTACACACGTGTACGTCCTAGAATTTGAGTTTTAATGGATATTTAAAATAAATTTCCAAATATTCTTGAGAGAAGAAGTTTGGGAGCCTCTGCCCTTCAGTACTGAGCAGGCCCATGAAGGAGCTGGGGTGGGGAGGCAGGAATGCTGGCCACAGGCAGGGCCAGGATGGGGCTCACGCTGCTGCCTCTCTGACCTCTGCCCTGACCCAGGCTCTACGGTTTCAAGATCCATCCGATGGCCTACCAGCTGCAGCTCCAAGCGGCCAGCAACTTCAAGAGTCCAGTCAAGACGATTCGCTGATTCCCCACCCCACCTGTCCCCAGTCTTTGACACTTTCATTCCTTTGCTGCCACCCTTTCATGAACCCTCTATGGTTTTTAGTTTAAATTAAAGGAGTCATTATTGTGGTGGGAATATGAAATAAAGTGGAAGAAAAGGCCGTGGGCTGATTTGCTGGGCTGATTTGCTGGTGCTTGGGGTTGGGGAAGGGAGGGTAATGGTGTGCTGAACCCCAGGAGCTCTCCTGGCCCCGCCCACCCTCCTCAGCTTGAAATCCAGCACAGATTTGTGCCCAGTGGATTTGGGTGATGTTTTTAGTAGTAAAGTGGAGTTGTAGAATTGGGTGTGGGGATGTGCAAAGATCACAAAAGACTCAAAAATCAAATTTCAAAGATTAGAGAAATATTCTTTTTGGGCCACCTGTGGTCGTCTGTTTATACTCTAGGGAGTGCAGTCAACAACACTTTGAGTTTGGGTTTTACAGGGAAAGTGGTCCCAAAATAAACAACTGTAAGGGGTGGGGAAAGGAGGGGCAGGGTCCAGAACTGCTGTTGTGTGGTGTCTGCCTGCCCCCTGCTGGGGAGCTGAGACATGCGCATCTCAGAAGGATGGGGGGCACTGGCTTCCGGGCTCAGGTTTCTCCCAGAACAATAGGGACTGACCCTATTGTGTGGGAAGGATAGCAGATGGTACCAGAGAAGGAAACATCCATGCACCCTTGAAAGGCACGCAGGACAGAGGTAGACTGCTGGATTGGGGCCCAGGTATTGCCCCTGTCTGGGCTACTGCTCCCACATTCAGGAACCAGACCTGGTGGGTGAGGACATGTCCCTCCTGCCAAGTTAATAGCTTCCTCCCCCAGTCAGGAATACAGCTCTGTACCTGCGGTAGCTCCTGCTCAGACTGCCTGTCAAAACTACCCTGCAGTTCAGGCTCAAGGAGCATGGTCACAGAAAGGTGGGGTTTCAGAGCACCCCTGAGGGGCTTCCCCTCTCCCCAGAATTCCATGATGAAGGCCCATATGTTTGTAGGTGTGCTGGTCATGATGGGCTTCACAGTGGGAAAGGGTAAGTGGGACACGGGGGCAGGGAAGGAGGGGTGACTGAGTCCAGGGAGGGGATGGCTCTGGATGAGCGGGCTCCCTGCAGGGCAGGGAACTTGGAGTGAGCCAACACGGCCATTTCTCCTGTCTTCCACTTCCCCAGCTCTTGTTGCTGAAGTCCGGACCTGCCACCTCTGCCTCTTAGAAGATCCTACTATAGGATGTGTTTTAGGCTCAGAGAAGTGCACGATCAGCAGCTCATCCCCATGCATGGGGATCAGCATCTTTCATAGTGAGTCAAGTCCCAGGAAGGGGCTACTGGTAGGGCAGCCCATGGCTTGGTCTCCTCTTGTAGATGAAGGCTGCTTGGGGCCTGAGGTCTAAGGAGATGGAGGATCCTGGAGGGGGAGGGGTCTGGGCTTCTGTGGAACCAGTTAAGCTAATTTTTCTGGCGCCTTCTGATGGAGTCTGGGATAGGAATTGGGTCTGGGTGAGGGATCGCAGAGTCTGGGAAAGGGGTGCCAGGTTTGGGGACTATGGGAGGCAGCAGTGGTTGTTAGCTGTCCCCTCTCTTCCAGATGCCAAGGTTCGCTTCTTAATCCGGGGCTGTGGACAGCACAAGTCTTACCGGTGCCAAGAAAAACACCCCACCTACCTCCCAGAGTACTGGTACTACGCCCAGTGCTGCCAGTATGATTACTGCAACTCCTGGTACAGCCCCCGGCTCCAGAGCTCCCTCCCTGAGGCCCCTGAGGGGTCCCTGGCCCTGCCCCTGTCTGAGTCCCAGATCCAGTGGTTCTGCCAAGCCCTGAACCTCTCACTGCCCCTACCCAGCTTCCATGCTGAGAAGGAGGCTTCTGAAGGCCTGGACCCCCTGGCTGTCCTGCCCCTGAATCTGAGTTTGTCCATTGCTGACCTGCGCCGCATATACTGTTTCCTCAACAATTCAGGACTTTTGGTTCTTCCCTGGGCTAGGCTGTGACGTCTTACCCTTCCCAGATTTCACTCTGGTCCAGCGTCTCTCCCCTGACACCCCAGCATCATGTACTGCCCTCTCAGAACACTCACACTTTCTGGTCTGTGAGTTCTCAGTCTTCCTTTCCTTTGTACTTCCATCGTCTATATGGTTTTGGTTTAGTTTCCTCCCCAAAAAGCAGTTGGCACTGCACCCAGTGCCCTTCGTCCACCTAGAAAATAATCTCAAATGTGAATTCTGCCTAGGCTGACCTGGGAAAGGCACAGTGGTTTCCTCATCCCTTTCCTATCATCTGAGTGGGATCATCCCCCCCACCCCCCATCTTCCTGATCCCCTCTCAAGCTGGCTATTTCCACCCCTACACCTGTCTCTAAAACCTTGTGCCAGACTGACCTTGCATCAAGAAGGGTGAGAGGCGGACTTTGTGCAGATTTCCTGACTGGGCACTCTGGTGTTCCTACCTCACTGTCTCCACCACCCTCACTCCCGCCTGGTCTCCTGCTTCCTTCTCTCATCTCTTGTCCCCATCTTTGACTTCCACAGCCCCACTTCACGTCCCTGAGTCCTGACACCCACTTGCACAGAATCCCAGGGAGAGGAGAGGATCTGTCCTCTGCTCCACATTCTCCAGTTTCCCTCCAGAATAAACAAACTGGGTTAAGTCTGTGTCACATTGTTTATGGGGTCAGGCTCCGGTGTGGGCAGGTGTAAACAGGTTAAAGAAAGTTAACTGGGTGTGGGGTTCAAACAGGGTTGCAGAGCCCTGCCCACTCCACTTGGCCTCTGTGGTTCCTCATGGCCTGCCGCAAAGAGCCCACATCCATCCCACCCTCTGCTCAGCTAGAGATCAAAGTATGAGGATTGTGACTCCTGCCAGCCTTAAACATACCCTACAAAACCTAGAAAGTTAGACCCGGGTGATGTCGTTTTTCCACATAAGAAAGGAGGAAATACTCAACCATGAAAACTCAAGAGCAAACCAGAGGGCCCAGGTCTGCATCTCAGTTACCTGGAGCTGAGGCACCTGCGTTCCTGCCTATTCTCAGTTCTTTTCAGGATCCTGGGAGCCAGGACCCCCTCTGTGAGGGCCTAGATGGAGGGGGTGGGAGAGTACAGAGAGCACACAGGTGGGGCTGCAGTGGTAGGGTCTTTCATTTTGAAAAACCGCAAGCATGCAGAAAGCAACCTTCCCCATACATTCAATAAACACTGGACACACTGCTCTGAGCCAGGCCCAGTATTAAGCAGCAAGACTTGCACGTGAGTACAGCCAGGTGTCCGCCCTTCTGACTCTCACAACCCAGCGCTGGGATTATGAAACCTTTTTCTGAGAAGTGGTGCAGCTCTGTGGCTGGGAGGCCCAATCCCAGCTCCTCTGAGAAGTGGTGCAGCTCTGTGGCTGGGAGGCCCAATCCCAGCTCCTCTGCCGCTTAAGTAAGTTGGTCTCTGTGCCGAATTTTGGTCACCTGTCAAGTAGGGATAGTGCCTCAGGATTGAGCGAATGTGTGTCAACGTGTGCACAGAGATAGAAGTTAATGGACTCAAAAATAGACACGCCTTAGAGGCAAACATACACACAGATTTTGGTCTATTTAGTTTTAAACATTTTTGGCCATACAGATGTTTGCGCACCAAAAGGTGGGTTTTTGTAAACTACACACCTGTGTTACCACTCCCTGAGTTAGCATAAAGGCCTTTATCAGCACCCAAAGCTGCCTTCATGCACCCTCCTAGACCCTCCTAAAATTCAGGGGTAGCCACTGTCCTGAATTTTGTCTGTGTGCTTGATAGAAACGACATCACACAGCATACACTCTTCCTACACAACATTTTTCATGTATGTTAGTAGATTTTTGTGGCCCCTTTAATGGCTTGTGCTCTGGTGGGAGAAACCATTTGTTTCTAGGTCAGGAAGCAGTTGGAGGTACAAAGAGAGGTACAAGCCACTGTGTCCCTCTCTTGCCGCCCCACTTTACCCCATGACCTCTGACTTCAGCATAAGTCAAGGGCCCAGGTTTACACAGCTCCAGCAAGTCAAACTGGAAGACAGCCTCAGAGGATGAGAAACCCGAGGCCGGAAACTGAGGAGTAACTTAACCATGGTCCTTGAAAAGGGAAGTTGAGCCTGGGATCAGAGAGGCCACTAGGCCTTGCATCTCTTCACAGAGCTCCTTCCCCACCCTCTCCTCCCTGGGACTGGTTCTCTTACAGCTCCACTTCTACCAACACACCCCCATGAACCTCCCTACCAGTCCCCATCCAGCTCTGGGTCTGACAGCACTTCTGAGGATGCCCACTACCCTTCTGGTCTTCAACATAGGAGGACTTGCAGTTCCTCTTCACCTCTTTGTGCTGAGAGCTGAATCAGAGACAGTGGGGCAGGGCAGGAGCAGAGCTCCGCAGAGCTGGGAGCCACTTACCTGCCCCTGACGGGGCACTCAGGCAGTACCACCTCCCTCAGCCTCCACATCCACTAGAAGAGAGAGACAAATCAAACAGTTTGCACACCTATTTATTTTGGAGGAACAGCTGGGGACTTTGGACAAGAGAGGACCATGGTGGGAAAAGAAGCAAAGCAGGGCAAAGGGGCATCCTTGAGGTGGGAACAGACAGGAGGAAAGATGTCAGACTGAGGCCTTGAAGGAAAACTCCAGAGAATTCTGGAGAGGGAGCCTAGGGAAGGGGCAGAGTGGGAATAGGGGTGTTGAGGGGCGTCAACCAAGAGACAGATAGGACTGGGGTCCAGTAGCTGCTGCTGAGGGCGGCAGGGAGGGCTGGTGGGTGGGGCCGGATATCGTTCTGGCTGCCCCCAGGTGGAAAGCAGGAGGATGGCTGGAAATTGGCAGGTTTTTACTCCAGAGGTCTCTATGGAAGTTCTAAGGACCATATTTTATTCTGTTCTGAGGGTTATTGCAGAAATTCCGGAAGCAGCATCGAGAGAATATCTAGAAGCCCAGCACTGGAGGAGTGTGGGTGTACGAGCGATCACTCATCTGCTCCTTGCTGCGGCAGTCACTCACCACGATCTCCGAACCACTGTCTGGGGAAGGACGGCAGCAATCAGCCACACAGAGTTCCCAGGTAAAGCCCCGAACCCTCCCATCCCCTCACCCCACATGGACTTACCATCACTGCCCCCACACCCTGCCCTGGACCCCCAAAATGCAACAATTCCTGGAACTGGACAGGCCAGCGAGTGCCAGGGAGTCACCAGCCATGAACTCTGTGGAAGTTTCCCAGGGAAGGTTAGTGGGAAAGAGCCATTCGAGATACAGTGACAGCTGGAATGGGGCGAATTGGGACTTGTGGAGCAAAGTGAGGAGAACCAGCACTTCAGGCGGGACCATGTAAGAAAAAGTTGGGAGATGTATTGGAGGTCAGATTGCAGACAGGAGGTGTTTGTCGTTTATTTTATGGATCAAAAGTAAGAGAAGAGGAAAAAAAAAAAGTAAGAGAAGATGAGGGACTTCCCCGGTGGCACAGTGGTTAAGAATCCGCCTGCCAATGCAGGGGACATGGGTTCGATCCCTGGTCCAGGAAGATTCCACATGCCGTGGAGCAACTAAGCCCGTGCGCTGCGCCACAACTGCTGAGCCTGCGCTCTGGAGCCCACAGGCCACAACTATTGAAGCCGGAGCACCCTAGAGCCCGTGCTCCGCAACAAGAGAAGCCACTGCAACGAGAAGCCCGCGCACCGCAACAAAGAATAGCCCCCGCTCGCAGCAACTGGAGAAAGCCCTCGCGCAGCAACAAAGACCCAACGCAGCCGAAAATAAATAAATAAAATATAAATAAATTTATATTAAAAAAAGTAGAAGAGGATATCTCTGCTGCTATTGTATATATGAGAGAGGGGAAATCTTTGTGCCCATGTACGGGGATGTTCACTGCTGCCCTGCTTGACAGAGTGAAAACTTAGAAGCAACCTAAAGGTCCATCAGTAGGGGGATGGATAAATCAACTCTGACATGCCCATGCCGTGGAATACCATGCAGCAGGACAGGAAGCTGGTTACAAACTGATACGGAAACATCCCCCATAACTGTTAAGTTTGAAAAACAAGTGCAGAACAGTGCTTACAGTAGTATGGTACTGTTTGTGGAGGAAAAAAAGAGGTGAAAAGGAGTAAACAGCATATTTGTATAGGGTGGGATGTGCACAAAAGGTCACAGAAAGGATAATAAAGGCAATTTAAAAAATGGTTTTATCTTATTCATGCCTGAGAGCTGGGTGAATTGGGCCAGGAGTGGGAGGGAGACTTTTCTTGAATACTCTGATATGGAACCACATCTGTGCATCAGCTGTTTCAAAAAGTATAATGAAAGGATTTGAATGAAGGCAGATTTGTACAGCAATCGTCAAGAGCACCATCTCTGGAACCACCACAAACTGTGGCTCAGCCTCTAGGAGGCTTATGCAAGGTACTGACCTCTCTGCACCTCTGTTTCCACGTCTGTAAAATGGGGATAACAATGCCTACCTTGGAGGGTTGTAAGTGCTTACAACAGTGCCGGGTACAGAGTCTGTGTTATGTGTTTATTATTTATTATTGAAAAAGGTGAGGGATCAGGTGGAAGAGCAGGCTTGAGGAACTGGGAATGTAGTCAATTTCCAGCAAGTTGAAAATGAGGTGGAGATATCCAGAGGGCAATTTGACATTACAGTTTGGCCTAACATTCAGTTTTAGGAGGATGCAGTATGTGCCTGCTGGGTGAAGCCAAGCAAGCAGATAAAATCCTCTGGGAGAGTAAAGAGGAAGAGAGCTAAGGACCAAACTTTGGGGAACGTGAACTGTTAAGGGTCAAGACTTAGTGAAGACCCAGTTAAAGGCAAGACTCAGTGAAGGAGACTGGAAAGAAGCAGTGGAAGATGTAGGAGAAGAGTGGTGCTGGCAGGAACTACTGCTGACAGATGGGGAGAAGGCAGCTTGAAGAAAGGCCAGTAGATTTGGTGATCTCCAGGGTCCCCTACAAGGCTGGGTGCTATGAGGAGGGTTAGCCGAGAAGGGGAGAGGAGTAGAAGTGGAGATGGGGAGTGGCTCTAAAGGAAAGGAAAGAGGGAGAGTGGTGGAACAGTGTCTCAGAGTTGTGGGAACCAGGATTAGGGTGCAGCTTAGAAGGCTGGTAGAGACTCAGTTCGGGAATGGGCTGGGCCCACGACGAAAGGGAGAAGGCAGCTTACTGCTCTTTATGAGCAGAGTCATGAAGCTGCTGCCCTTTGGGGCGAGGCAGATGTCAGATCCCAGAAGGCATCCCACCTCCTTGGTCTCCAAGAGGCATCGATAGCAGCTTAGGTATTTGTTTAAATGAATCTGATGAAGGGGTTCTTGATCATAACGTTCAAACTCACCTAGAATACAGAGAAGCACTGACCCCAAACCCACCTAATTCCCAGACTGGCCAATCCCACTGTTCCCTCCTACCTCCCCATCTCAGAAAACCATGAAATCACCAATTCTTTAATGAACCATCTGGCTTAATCTAACATCAGAAGCTTTCGTTCTCATTAAAAATCTCCATCCTCTGCTCTTTTACCTCCTGAAATGAGGAACTCATTCATTCATTCATTTATTCATATATTTGAGGGGCTAACGTGCCCAGCACTCTACAAGCCTCTAACTTTTAAAGGTTAGGCCAAGGCAGCCCATTCCAACTTTTGGCAGCCCTGTTAGGACAGTTCTTCCTTTGTGACTTGGTTTCACTGTCCTCACCCAACCCCCAGACTCTTTTGAATATGCTTTCTTAATCTATAATGTTCAGAAGTGAAAACATCAGGGTGCATCATCACAGGACAGGAAGAATCTCAGCTTTGTGTAGGCAGGAGACATCAAGCAGCCCAAGGCCACATTCTTTGTTTGGTGGTTCTCTCACTGAACAGACTCATATTGAACTTTGTCCACCAAAGCCCTCCCCAACTGCATTCATATTCATCTCCCTCCTCCTCTGATCCCAGGCCCAGAGCACGTGTTAATGAGTCCCCAGACCCAGCAGAGCACTTGGTGTAAGGCAGATGCTTAGCAAACACTTTGGATCTTGTTTCTGTGTCGATGGTGCTTTGCAGCCAAGTGAGGTTATCAGGCTGGATTCAGCCTTGTTCTACGCCGTGGATCCTGAGGCTGTCATCTGGCATGTTCTCCCAACCCTCCCTATTCTGTATTGTCCTCAGATTCTAAGAGGTTCCCTTTAGTATCTCTATTCAGGTCACTGCTGTTGAGTGAGATAGCGCTGGGGTAATCACCAGAAATCTCCCTCAGAGTGAACATCAGTACATTATCAGTCCCCAGGCATTATCCCCCCAAGCCCACCCATCCCATCTTTCTTCCTGCCTGGGTTTACCTGAATCTCCTTGGCAGATGTACCCAGACATCTATCCAGGGTTTCCCTATCCAGCAGGATAGGAGACCCTTCTGATCCCTTAGAGCCACTTACCAAACGCCAAGCTCATCAGGACCAGCATTGTTAAGAGGACCATGTACAGGGCTTGGGGGGGGGGCCCGGATTCCGGCTACCTGCAGGGCCCGCCATAACACGCATGACTGCCCACCAGCCTCCAGTTTGGCCTTATATTGGTGGAAGAGAAGGTGGCGAAGACGAAGGGGAGAGGCAACATCCTTTGGGGGTGGAAATCAGTGCCTGAACAGCCAGAGGGACAGAGTGTCCTCACCCACGGCCATTCTGGGGTCTAACATACTGGCTTGGGGACAAGGACCCAGCAACAGGGGAATGAGAGGGGAAACTTCTTTCATATTAATTCAACAGACATTCATTAAATCACTGCATCAGGTGTTGGGGATACAATATTGCACAAAGTCACTACCCTCACAGAGTGCACCATCTAGTACGGGAGACAAGTCAACGGACAATGAAGGGGGAGGGGCGGGGAGCGCGGACAGAGTGCTTCCGGGGAGAACTTGGGCAATGGAAACTACTGACCCAAGGGGTTTCATTAGAGCAGTAACAAGATCAATTTATGTTTGTAAAAGATTTCTGAGGCCAGAAAACCACTTAGGAAGCTATTCCTGAGCCCAGTCACAAGATGGCGGCCTGGTCTAGCAGAAGAGAGGGAAGCCGCGAAGTGAATGAATCTGAGCTGCATTTAGAAGAAAGATTGGACAGATTTGGACTTAGACTGAATGTGAGGTGAGGGAAGGGGGATAGGCTTGCAAAAGGGGGTAATTGTGACACCATTTTTCAAGATGAGAAAGACGTGTCAGAAATCCAAAAGCGAGGACAACCTGAGTCGCTAATGGCCGTACTCAGCCCAGTGCCCCCTGTGGGTTCCGGGAAGTCAGAGCCTTTCCCTACGCCCGACTTTTCCGGCCCCGCCTCAGCTCAGCTGCAGGTCGGTGGATCTGATCTCCGGCGCCCACAGGCTCCGGCGCTGTGCGCTCGCTCTCCGCGCCTGGCTGCACCTCAGAGATTTTGGGAAGACGCGAAGGCGGCCCCCAGCCCAAGCTCAGCTCTTGGCCGGGCGGCTGGGGAGGGCGCGCCCGGCGTCGGGACCCAGGCATCCGGCCCTGTCAGACGCCCGAGGGTTCCCTGCTGTGGTCCCAACACTATCCAAGAATCATCCGATCTTGGGGTGTTGATGCGGAAGATGGGAAGAAACTGACGGAGACACGCCAAGAAAGGCGGACGCGAAAGAAGAAATACGAGAGAAAAACACACGCCACTGCGCGCACCCCAAGAGCCTTGGGATGATAAAAATAAGAGAATTATTTTAGAGAAAACTCAAGAGTAATGGAGAACTGGGGAGGAGCACCTGGGACCGATATAAATGTTGGTTGAATGAGGGACAAAGTGATAGACGAAAACAATTAGACAGCGGGGGCTGCTTTTGAAGCAAAGTGGGCAAAGGAGAAGCAGAAGGGAATTTCACAGCGCCCTTTGACTCCCTCTCTCGAATATAAGCGCAACGAAAAGTCCAAGGGCGTTATGCGTGGCTGAGGCTGGCCTCCCTTAAGGGGTCGCCCTGAGAGGTCCGGGAGGACTTGCGGTGGAGCTACGGCAATCAGGGGCCCAGGGCGTAGCAAGTGCTAACAGGCGGGTAGTTATTTCGGAGCTGGGCTGGGCCTTCTTCAGAGAGGGCGTGGCCTTAGGGTCATTAATCCCGCCCTTGTTTCGTTTCGCTCCTCCCCTGTCCACGAGGCAGGGCGCGGCTTCTGTGCCCGCAGAGCCGCCAGAGTTCGTTGTCATGGTGACGGGCTCCTTGGAGGCTTTCCTGGGGTGAACAGGCGGGGCTTTGCAACAGTCGTCACGGTGAACACAGCGGCTGGAGAAATCCACGCTGAGGGCCCCTCCCCCCGGACAAGGGATACCTGAGGGTAAGCAGCCAAATTACCAAACAAAGCAGGTCGGGCCTTAGGACAGAACGCTGCAGTTAGAGGAAGAATCGGGGTGAACGAGGGGCGGAGCTATGGATGATTGGGCCGGGCGAAAGCCAGGTTCTGTTAGGGGAGTGGCCGCGACAGAGCGGTCTGGAGAGGAACTACGGAGGGGATCTTTAATCAGAATAGAAATGAATGAAAAAGTGAATGACTGGGCTCCTGAGGGAGCTGGGAAGGGTTGGTGATTGGATGGATGGATGGATGGATAGGGACCTGGCTATCCCCGACGCCTGGGCCCCCCACTCTCTGGAGCCTGTCACCCTCGGGGCCCTCATTCACTTGTGACAGTGCGAGAAACACATGCCCCTCCCGGGGACATGGAGCAAACCCTCAACCCAGACACTCAGTTCAGAGCCGAGTCCAGCACCTCACACTGGGAGCAGCGCAGGGTGGCGCCTGGGCCAATGAGACACGGTAAGATAAGGGGTGGCCCAGCCCGGGGCCCACATCTTCTTCCCAGGTTTCCTGTCCAGTTGCTAGCTCTCCTTTTTCCCAGCCTCCATCCCCTCTCCCAGTTTGCCTAGCAACTCTGGGATGCCTGGGTGTCCAGGCCTCACCTGGTGCCCACTACAGCAAGAGTCAGAGCCTCAGCAGATGTGGTGTCTGCATCTCAGCTGGTCTTCTCCCGAGACTGCTAGAACCCTGATAAATAGGGTGAGGAGTGGATATGGGGAGCTGGTCCCACCCCGGGGGCGGGGGGTGAGCCTTATCAGATAGGGAGTAATCTGAGGGGGTAGACTGAGACTCCTTGGTGGCGTGGGGCAGAATTCAAATTTTGAGCCTCACTTCTCCCCACCCCCTTCAGGTATCCATGCGCCCCTCATGGCATCCACTGTTCTCTATAGTATGTGCAGGAAGAAGGGGGAGGGAGACGTGGTTGTAGAGGCAGGTCAACAGAGTCCCTGATGGCCATGGCCAGGAAGAGGGAGTCCTTTGTGTCTAGGGTGTGAGATGTGGGGCACCCCGTGTTTGCATTTAAGGAGGTTCCCTTAGCTGAACAAAGACTTGGTTTCCAGGGGGCTAACTGTCCTGATGGCTCTGGAAGGCAAGGTTCAGAATCATGCAGCTGGTCCCACAGCTTCACGCTCCATACTTCCCACCCTGTTTGCTCCCTAGGGCAGAACAGAGGAGAGGGGTGCCAGTAACAGCTCTCCGGTATTTGCTAAAGGTGGAACATTCTGGAGCTGTGGCCACCTCTTCTCTTCTAACCCCAAATAGGAGGCATCATGTCAACTGACAAGTCTCAGATCACTCCTTTCAGTGGAGACTCAGTATATCTCCCTTTAAGGAGCTGCTGAGCTGGTTAGGGCAGACAGCCTCTGCCCCAGGGATTGCAGGGGAGCTTTGTGCTTTGAGGTTGGAGGAGACACTGAAATTAACCAGAGGCTGTATCCAGGACCTCAGAATATGGTCCACCTTAAGTATCTTGTTCAAAATGGTGGACCCAGGGTGGTAAACCTAGGGGTATTTCATCTGGAAAAGAGGTTTCCAAGGGAAGAAGGTGGCCAGGGTACAAACTGATGGGTGGGAAAGGGACTCATTCTGTTCTGTGAGGTCCAAGGATTGGAAACAGAATGGAAGTTATAGGGAACCAATTTCCTCAAGTTCAAACTAAGAATATTCTAACAGCTGTCCAGAAAGGCAAAGTATGGCTCTGGGAAGACCCGAGTCCTTGGCACCTGCTCCTTGGTCCCTGGCAGGCCCTGTGTTTGTTGAATTGCAAAGAGGCTGTGAAGAGAGAGACCTGACATGGTGAGGACGGTGTGCAGGGTTTGCTGCATAAGACATGGGGAGCAGGCCGTTCCTCACTCCCCACGGAAAGAGCAAGAGCTAAGCAAGGAAAACTGGAAGGACTGATGGTGAGACCATGCAGGCTGGACCTGGAAATCTGTAGAATTGCTGAGTAGGTGAAAATCAGGAGCTAGAAAGTACTTTGTAAACAACAAAGCCCATGAGTTGTGAGCAACAGGAGGCAACCCTGGTCTACTGGGCTGGTTGTGTGCAGGAAGGCCTGGGCAGGCACCAGGGAGGCTGCACAGTGGTGGCAGTACCAGGCATGGCAGGGAAGGGTGAGGACTGGGGACCCATTGCACAAGGATAGCTCGTGCTATTGCCTGAGGCGACAGCAGAGATGGGGAGGGTTAAACTGGCTGTCTGGAGTTGGGGTTTCTCAAAGCCCAGCCCTTTGGAGCTTCGACTCTCCCCACTCCCAACCCTGGCTTCCTGGACACCTGGGAAGTCACAAAATTAGCCAGCCAGTAGAAAAAATATTTTTATTAATTATTAGGAATAATCCATTCATTTAATGCAGGGAGTGTGTTGGGGAAGGTTAGGTACTGCCGGATGGATGAGGGGAAACGTGCAAGAGGAACAGTGAGAAGGGGGATGGTCCCCCCGCTTGCCACAAACTATAAACAGCAAAATAAACACAGAGGATAACAAGTAATAGGGTCCTTCCTCGTGTCTCCTCCCATCCGTTCTTCCAGAATGGGTCCCAGTGTGGTCCCTAGAGGTGCCAGGGCATCTGGAAGTTCTGGGCCGGGAGTGGGGTACAGTGTGTGGCTTCGAAGTTGTGCAGATGCTTCTGAGCCTGAGGGGAGAGGGTGGGACAGGTGGGGTGCAGAACACAGACACCCTCCGAACCCACTACCCACTCTACAAAAGCTGCTCCTTCCAATGCTTACAGGGTACCCCTGTCCCCAAGCCCCACACGTGCCCCCTGGCCATTCAGGCACCCTCTTCCTGCTTCCCACCCCTTAGCTCACCAGAAACAAAGCCAGCTGCCGCCTTCCTTCTGGACTCATGTCCTCCCCTGCAGAGAGGAGGTGCTCAAACACGGGCCACGCACCTGGATATTCACCCCCTTCCTGGGCTCTTCCCAACCCCTCCTCCTGCCCCAGGACTCCTTACCCACGCTCCAGGGGAATTCAGGCCCGTGTTCTGCCTGGTAGGAGTGGAGGACGGACAGGCACCAGTCCTCCTCCACCTCCCATCGGCTGTAAATCGAGGCTGGTCATGGAGAGAGAGGAGTGCCCATCAGCAACCTGGTTTTGCCAGGCCCCCAACCAAAGCCCTCACCAGATCC